CGTTTGATGACCTTGATATTAATCTTTTGGATAACCATACATTGCTTTAAGATGTGTGATAATGGGGTTTATTTGAACCATTAGTGACTTGTGTGTTAACGTTTGACACTATATTTAATTTTCTATAAAATGTGCACATTAAAAATATACCATATCTATTGCTATTTATTTTCTCCGTGGCCTTGGGTATCGGATAATGATGGAAATTAATTACTGAATTGAAATTAAAAAGAATTCATACCAAATATTTTTTTCATTTAAAACCTTTATATATAATTAATGGCCTCTTGTTACATACCATAAAATAAACTGTCAATGAGTGTTTGTAATCTTCAATTTAACCGTGGGTATATTCACATAGACTAAAGTCAAAGTTCAAGGCTGGACTTCCTATCTTTTAAATAATGAATAAACAGTCTGTTAGACATTCAGGTCAATGGTCAAATCAAAGTTTTGTGCACATTTATGAGCAAAATTTGATATCTCAGGGGATCCAAGCAACACCTGACAAAAACAGATTGATCCTGTGCTTGTTGATAATACTAGTTTTTGTAAACGTCCTCCCACTGACAAGACATGTTGATAATACTAGTCTTTGTAAACGTCCTCCCACTGACAAGACATGATGATTATACTAGTTTTTGTAAACTCCCCCCTGCCAAACCTGTTGATAATACTAGTTTTTATAACCGTCCCCCCTGCCAAACCTGTTGATAATACTAGTTTTTAACCGTCCTCCCACTGACAAAACTTGTTGATAATACTAGATTTTACAACCGTCCTCCCACTGACAAAACTTGTTGTTAATACTAGTTTTGTAACTGTCCTCCCAATGACAAAAACTTGTTATTAATGCTAGTTTTAACCGTCCTCCCAATGACAAAACTTGTTGATAATACTAGTTTTATAACTGTTCTCCCAATGACAAAATCTTGTTATTAATACTAGTTTTTATAACTGTCCTCCCACTGACAAAACCTGTTGATAATACTAGTTTTGTAACCGTCCTCCCACTGACAAAACTTGTTGATAATACTAGATTTTACAACCGTCCTCCCACTGACAAAACTTGTTGTTAATACTAGTTTTGTAACTGTCCTCCCAATGACAAAAACTTGTTATTAATGCTAGTTTTAACCGTCCTCCCAATGACAAAAACTTGTTATTAATGCTAGTTTTAACTGTCCTCCCAATGACAAAACTTGTTGATAATACTAGTTTTATAACTGTTCTCCCAATGACAAAACTTGTTGATAATACTAGTTTTATAACTGTTCTCCCAATGACAAAACTTGTTGATAATACTAGTTTTATAACTGTCCTCCCAATGACAAAACTTGTTGATAATACTAGTTTTATAACTGTCCTCCCACTGACAAAACTTGTTGATAATACTAGTTTTATAACTGTTCTCCCAATGACAAAATCTTGTTATTAATACTAGTTTTTATAACTGTCCTCCCACTGACAAAACCTGTTGATAATACTAGTTTTGTAACTGTCCTCCCAATGACAAAAACTTGCTATTAATACTTGTTTTTGTAACTGTACTCCCAATGACAAAAACATGTTATTAATACTAGTTTTTATAACTGTCCTCCCAATGACAAAACTTGTTGATAATACTAGTTTTTATAACTGTCCTCCCAATCACAAAAACTTGTTGATAATACTAGTTTTTATAACCGTCCTCCCACTGACAAAACTTGTTGATAATACTAGTTTTTATAACCGTCCTCCCAATCACAAAATCTTGTTATTAATACTAGTTTTTATAACTGTCCTCCCAATGACAAAAACTTGTTGATAATACTAGTTTTTATAACCGTCCTCCCACTGACAAAACTTGTTGATAATACTAGTTTTTATAACTGTCCTCCCAATCACAAAATCTTGTTATTAATACTAGTTTTTATAACCGTCCTCCCAATGACAAAACCTTGTTATTAATACTAGTTTTTGTAACTGTCCTTCCAATGACAAAAATTTGTTATCAATACTAGTTTTTGTAACTGTCCTTCCAATGACAAAAACTTGTTGATAATACTAGTTTTTATAACCGTCCTCCCACTGACAAAACTTGTTGATAATACTAGTTTTTATAACCGTCCTCCCACTGACAAAACTTGTTGATAATACTAGTTTTTATAACTGTCCTCCCACTGACTAACGCTGTTGATAATACTAGTTTTGTAACTGTCCTCCCAATGACAAAAACTTGTTATTAACACTAGTTTTAACCGTCCTTCCACTGACAAAAACTTGTTGATAATATTAGTTTTTATAACCGTACCCCCTGCAAAACCTGTTGATAATACTAGTTTTTGTAACTGTTCTCCCACTGACAAAACCTGTTGATAATACTAGTTTTTATAACTGTCCTCCCGCTGACAAAACCTGTTGATAATACTAGTTTTTATAACCGTCCCCCCTGCCAAACCTGTTGATAATACTAGTTTTTATAACCGTCCTCCCACTGACAAAACCTGTTGATAATACTAGTTTTGTAACTGCCCTCCCAATGACAAAACCTTGTTATTAATACTAGTTTTTGTAACTGTCCTCCCAATGACAAAAACTTGTTATTAATACTTGTTTTTAACCGTCCTTCCACTGACAAAAACCTGTTGATAATACTAGTTTTTATAACCGTCCCCCCTGCCAAACCTGTTGATAATACTAGTTTTTATAACCGTCCCCCCTGCCAAACCTGTTGATAATACTAGTTTTTATAACCGTCCTTCCACTGACAAAACCTGTTGATAATACTAGTTTTTATAACCGTCCTCCCACTGACAAAACCTGTTGATAATACTAGTTTTTGTAACCGTCCTCCCAATGACAAAACCTTGTTATTAATACTAGTTTTTGTAACTGTCCTCCCAGTGACAAAAACCTGTTATTAATACTTGTTTTTAACCGTCCTCCCCCTGCCAAACCTGTTGATAATACTAGTTTTTATAACCGTCCTCCCACTGACAAAACCTGTTGATAATACTAGTTTTGTAACTGCCCTCCCAATGACAAAACCTGTTGATAATACTAGTTTTTATAACCGTCCTCCCACTGACAAAACCTGTTGATAATACTAGTTTTTGTAACCGTCCTCCCACTGACAAAACCTGTTGATAATACTAGTTTTTATAACCGTCCTCCCACTGACAAAACCTGTTGATGATACTAGTTTTTATAACTGTCCTCCCACTGACAAAACCTGTTGATAATACTAGTTTTGTAACTGTCCTCCCAATGACAAAAACTTGTTATTAATACTTGTTTTTAACCGTCCTTCCACTGACAAAACTTGTTGATGATACTAGTTTTTATAACCGTTCCCCTCACAAAACCTGTTGATAATACTAGTTTTTAACCTGTCCTCCCACTGACAAAAACATTTTGCTTGGGTATATATTGACAAGTATGACACATCGTACAACGGAGACGACTTTGTTCCTGGTAACACTGACTTGTAAAGTTGACAAGAACTGTGGTGATTTCTGATCTAGATCTCAGGTTTATTTCACCTTCTTTAAATAACGACATGTCTGTGTTACACTTGTAGAAACACCGGGAGATTTGGTTTACAAGAACTTTGATTAATTTTCTTTTAGACCCTAATTTTACCCCTACTTCGATATCTCTATTTCACATCTGGTTCACATCCGTTATAAAACTAGTGTCAAGGAAATACAGCCGAACAATGATGATATACTAAACGGGTCCGGTAAAATGGCGATGTGTCAGACATAGCAAACAGTTTACATATGGTGAGGTTTTTAAGAGTAAATTCATTCACAATATCGCGGAACAACGATGGTTCTTAGCGTTAGAGCATTGACAGCTGCACTTAGGTTCGCCACTGGAGTGAGATCCCAAACATATCAGGCGAGATTAGATAACCATACTGATGTCCAGCACACCCTGGAAATCGATCTGATACGAGAATGTTATGGATGGTTTTGTGACTACACATGCTTTGAAAATCATAAAAAATTATAGTGTTGACACTATCGAGTTCAAATACTCGAACGAATATTTAAGTGGCATATTCCTCCGCCTCTTCACATCCACTGAACGTATTTAACAAATGCCGTCAACGCCATACGTTCAATGAATAAAACAGGATCGTCATGACTGAACGAGTACATTTAAACAAAATCGTTAGAGGAAACGTTGTACGTACGTACTGTCCTGTTGGATCCGCTTAAATTTTACACAACATCCCAATTTAAACAAGTGTGGTCATCGTCAAAGGAAGTTGAGAACGCCTTCTTGTTTACATAATTATATCCTTTTGTATCTTGTGACACGTGTTGTGAAATATATCAAGAGGAACTACGTGTGGCACATGAGTAAAGTAACATATCGTTTGACACGTGTCATATAACATTTCTTTAGGAACTACGTGTGACACGTGTAGAATATTAATGAAACTACATGTGTTACGTGTCCTGTAAAATACTGCATGTAGCAACGTGTGACATATGTGTAAAATATCCCATGGAACTACTGTGACACTTTTCGTGTAGAATTTCATAGGAAACTGCGTGTGACACGTGTAAAATATCACATGGAACTACGAGTGACACATGTGTTATACCTCGGAGGGAACTACTGTGATACGTGTCCTGCAAAATAGCACACGGAACTACGAGTGACACATGTGTTATACCTCGGAGGGAACTACTGTGATACGTGTCCTGCAAAAGATCACATGGATTACATACGGGAGGACTGCTAATGACATGTGTCGTGTACGACTTTTCAAATGTTTATTTAGGAGCAGCTAGTGAGCATAGCCATAACTGACCAGAAATCAATCTGCGTGTATTTACTGTCGTGTACTACGTCAAATGTGGAAATAGAATATATTATTATTGGTAATTAGGAACTCACTTTCAGACGAATCATCTCTATATTATTGAGCGTTGTTTAATACTATAAGGTATCAGTGTTGTTACAGATATCCAGGAGGCTGTGATCTCACATTTCAACCAAAAATGATGAAAGAGGAATTCTTAAAACAATTAATTCAAAATGTTCGCGCTATCAACACAACATGTTTACGAAAGGCAGATGAGTTCGGGATGGGCGTGTCCACATGTAACTGGATGTGTAGGGGCCAGTCCTCGCCATGTGAAGGTAACTGCAGTTATTTTGACGCCGACAAACGCGTACAGAGTCTGACGTCATACTGCTCAAACATGAGTGTACATGCCGCCGTTGAGCGCGTGAAGATGAAAGTATTTGACGTCAGCAAGTCAACAGCATTAGATGTGGGCGTGGTTTTGTACGGTTATGTAACTCCAGTTCTGTGTATATTGGTAATACTTCTCAACACCCTCTTGGTGGTCATCTTGTCCAGTAGAAAGATACGGTCACCTACCAATATGATATTATGTTGTATTGCTGCGCTAGATACGTTGACTATCCTCTTCCCTTTGCCGTGGTATATGTTCTTTTACACATCTGGAGGTTATGAGGAGTATGTATCATTTTCTTGGTGTGTAGTATACAAATACACGGCTCTAGTTCTCCCTACTGTATGCCACAATAGCTCCCTGTGGCTCACTGTGGCTTTAGCAGTCCATCGTTACATAGGGGTGTGCCACCCCCGCATAAGCAAATTCACGTCATCTTACAAAGCTGTGACAATCTGCCTATTGTCCATTTTGGTTATCACAAGCGTAATGCAGTCTGCCATTTTTCTACTTGAGGATGTAGAACCAGTGAGAGTAGTCGGAAAGGAACTCTTCGTTATTTCCGGTGTCAAATATGTTGATACGTGTTCTATTGTGTTCAAAACAGGGACAGATAATTATCTGTACTCTATGAAAGCCTATTTATGGACGAGGATGATTGTTGTGGAACTTCTACCCACGACCTTGTTGTTGGTTTTTAATATTTTGCTCATGAAGAAAACATGCGATAGCTACAGATACAGACAACAACTCGTTAGCGGAAACGAAACCATGAGTAAATCTGACTTCCGGGAGTGCATGCGCACTACAATCATGCTGCTGACGTTGTGTAGCTTCTGCGTTTTGGTAGAAATACCTGTTGCCACTATTTTATTTTTGATGTTGATACAGACCAACACAGGTTACCGTATTTTTACTTCGCGTGGAGCGAAAGTTGCAGTAACTTTAGTTAACTTTGTTCTGTTTCTCAGTTTTCCTGCCAATTTCGCTATTTGTCTTGGATTGAGCGAGAAGTTCCGGAAAACACTGAAGCAAACATGGCGATCGCGAGATCGCTCTCATTCTGTTTCGGGTATGTCTACAAGCATGTTTAGCATGAAAATGAGTAATTCACATGATACACAAAGTAGTATTCCAATGTTAACATCAGTAACACAGGACAAAACAGTAGAATCTCGTCTGTGACCTGATCTATGTCAAACTCCACACGGAAAAGAAGCATGGACTGGCAGAAGTGTTAACAGTGAAATTATGATGGACCGAAGTTATTTCTGTTTAATCTAAAATTCCACCTATGATAGTCTAGGTGATCTGTGTTATTTTTGTCTGATGTTTTCGTTCATTTTTTTTTTTTTTGTTTGTTTGTTTAAAAAAGCTTTTCGAACAAAATTTTAGTTGTCATATACATTTCAGTCAGAGGACATATCCGATATGTAAAGACTAAATGCATGAAGTTGTTTTATGAATCTCCGTATATTATAACACCAGTTTCCTCTCGAATTTCCGCTTTTGTCTCTTATTTATTTGACAGTAAGACAATATAAGTTTTTTCTGACGTATCTGGATAAGATTTCGTCGGATGATTTGGCAGAGTGTGGTAAAGAAATAAAAAATTGAAAACCCAATAATTCAACAAGTTAAACATTCATATAAAAAAGATCATAAATGCAATAAAAACATGCGTTCTTTTGGTCCATTTAGTAGACTTTTATCATTTTAGAAATACATCCTCTAACTGACACATTTTGCAATCATCGTACAATCAAGTGCTTTAGACATGGTTATGGATTTTTCTTTAATACTCAATAATCGTGCAGATGCACATTTCAACACACAGCATTTAAATGCTGTAAATATGACCAAAATGTGATGGTGACCGGAACATCTCGAAGTAAGGGTTTCCTACCGGACAGATTTCATTTCACTATGAGGTAGTTGTATGGTTACCATGACACAATTCAGTATGATAATATCGGCCCTTAGATTAGAATAGGAGGCATTTCCCTGATAAATGACCAATGAAATGTGTTAAACATTGCTTTATGCAAATATAAAACTCCGTCGTACACTTGTTCGGTATAGATGTTTACGGCTACACAAAGAAATCCAATATTGAGCAAAGACACGATTTGTTTTCTCTTTGATTTTATTTTTTCCATTTGATACCGTCTGAGTCGACACGAATACTTCACTGGCAACCAAGGAGTCGTCTATATAATATTACTGCCTTTTAAATAAGCGATTCTATGACATTCCAGAATATGTACAGTACACTTATAAAATTGACCGAAGCTGAAGGAACATATCAGATCACTGAGGTTAACAGGCATGTTGCAAACAATACATTAACATGTCAAATTCCAGTCGGAAAACCCTGGATCTCTGTGTATGGAGTAGAAACTGACAATTTCTCGGCTTTTGCTTTTTTAATTCAGGGGCCATAACTCTGAAAAAACGAGGTTGACAGAACACAATATGAATTCGACTTGCATCTTTCAACAATTTGCGGTACCTATTTCTGCCCACCACTTTGGACAATCTAAAAGTACATGATTATAAATGACTACAGGTAAACGTATATTTGGAATGTACGTGTTATAATATAGAAAATGAACGGTTTGGCAGTTGTGTTCATCGTGTTTATCTTTAGCAATGTTACGATTAAAAAAGTAAAATTCAACGACTGAAATACTGCCTTATGTGTGACAGTTTATAATTAAGAGTTTACAATACAACACTATCTCGTCGAATTCCTTGTTCGGAGTGCTGTATCATTTAACTCCTCTGTTACCACTCGTAGATACTTTGATGAAGGAAATGTTTAATTGAAACTTAACCTCGATATTAAACATTTGATTACAGAGCCAGTCTATATCTTAAGTATGAGAGAAAGGATAACGATAAGTGTAGTTTGATGAAAATCCCTTTAAGAAGCGGAGGTGCTATAGAGCGCCGACAGTGGTGTTTCTACGTCTAGTAAGAGACATCGGACGAACAATTCTGATAGCCTATATAAAATAAAACTATTTGAGCGCAAAGATTTTCTAAAAATATTAACAGTGACCTTGTCACAACAACCTGAATCCTAAATTCGTCCAAGATATTTTGGTGCTTTATAAGCATGTGAAGGAAAATCCTCCATGGCTAAAATAGTGCCAGTGACATTGACCTTGATTCAACAAACCTGAAAACTCATACATGTCCAAAGATATGTGAATTTTTTTTACAAGTTTGTGAATTTTGATGAGAATCCCTCAAGAATTCTAGAGCGCTAACTTTGTCACATACGGACGGACGGACGGATGAAAGAAGGAAGAGTCATGAAAACGTACCTCCGACCCTCCCAAGCCCAGTTTCATCAGTAATGTACTTTAATGTACTTTGTTATAAAGCAATGTACAAGTTCTCAATGATTTACACCAAAATTGTTCATTGTGTCATTCATATTATAAACAAAGGCAAAAAAAAAAAAAAAAAAAGAGAGAGAGAGAGAGAGAGAAACACGCAAAAAAGCAAACAAACAAACAAAAACCAAAACAAAAAAAAACCAAAAAAAAACATGTTTTCGTGTTATTAATCGTAAATCCTATTTTGAATTTTATTGTGTCACCTTGAAAATTAGCTTTATAAGTGCAGTCTGTTCCTGCATGAACTACCACCGTTTCTTTTCAATGTTGTATTCCACTTTTGAAGGAAAATTCTGTCTTTGTTCCTTAAAAATAATACTGGATTTTCTTACTAAAGGGAAACAACTCTTGAAACCTTGTAGGATATGTTAGCCATAAAGAAGGTGACAATTAAGCTGAACTTATGCAAACGGAGATATGAAATCCAATAGATGAAATGACAGGAAAAGTATAACGGCCATTTCATATGTATAGCATTTTTTCCCATTCATATATGATGACTGTGTCATGTTTTAAAAAATGTGCTGTGGATTCTACTTTGATTTTAACAATTATTAATGAGTTTATCCATGTAAAATTAAAAGAGATACAATTTAATCTTTAACAAAATATATGATTATGAGATAATTTATATATCTTTATTTACCAGATATCACTCTGATTTGATCATTATCTATATATATGACATCACAAGAAGATGAGATGCCTGTCGTTTTGTTTGTTTTGTTTAGTCACCCCTAACCTCCTGGTTCAGGTCTGAAGGTGAGACATTAAGGACGTTATCTTGTCCCCCAAGTCAGGGTCGCTGTCCTAAGTATTTTTTTCTGCTTGAAATCTTAAGTAGGATTTTGGATCGGACGAAGAGAAGACACATTTTCGTAACATTCAATTCTCGGGTGCTTATTTTTATGTTTTTCATTAACTTTCGTTTTGTATTGAAACCCATGGAAGCCTTTACGTTTCATCTGGATGTTTTGACCTGACAATTTTATGTAACCTATTGCTAACAAAGCTGGAGTGACATTGGCACTTAACGCTAGTAGTAGTACTTCTGATAAGACTATCCGGTCAAGTAGACAAAGGACTTTTATACCCACGTCCGTGAGTAGACTCAGTAGCCTCACATACTATCTCAATCTTAAATAATGTTTGATGGATAACAGAGAGAAACTGTCGACAAATCCAAGGGTTCTTTTATCATTACAGTGTTATTTATAGGGACTGCAAATATTCTGGCTGTACATACAACATAAGTTAAGTGAGGTTGACTGGTTTTATTACAAATGTCTTTTTAATTGGAAATTCCAATTCCTGAAAACTTGAAAAACATCTGAAAATAAATTTGAAAATTCAATACACACATATACCAGCCTCCGTTTCCATCAGTTCGACCTGATTCTGATCTCTACCTTGTTAATCTTGAAGCTGTATGTAGCGTGTATCCTTGGTAATCTGATTAATAGGTCTCTAACGCTGAGTTTCAGAATGAAAAACTGCTTACGTGATCAAAAAACGTTTAAGCATACTAATTACATACCTATAACACAGATCTCAATTACTGGAGTTTCTTTTTGTTTAAAGATTTAAGCATGGTGATCATTCCTGATTTTGTATTTAACTTAAAGTCTAGGAATACGGGGCCAGATTTTCTGTGACCGTTAGTAAAGCTTTTGGTCGTGTATAGAATAATTACTCTCACAGCAAATACAGTCCTTACTAATGGAGGAAAAAACCTCATTAGATCCAGACTGGGGTTCTCCGGGGGTTCGTCATTGAACCTACGAATTCCTAAAGTCCGTGATGAATTCCCTACTAGTGACTTTTCCTAACAAAGGTTGTTAGTTGGTTTAATTATTATCTTAATTGAAGAATTCGAAAACACGTATACATGTACTAGGTATAAGTGATCGGCACATTTCAATATAAACTTAGAATTACAAACAGCAATACCAAATAATGAATTACACTGCATTACACATCTGCTTCGTGAATTAAACTGCATTACACAGCTACTTCGTGAATTAAACTGCATTACACAGCTGCTTCGTGAATTACACTGCATTACACAGCTACTCCGTGAATTACACTGCATTACACAGCTACTCCGTGAATTACACTGCATTACACAGCTATTTCGTGAATTAAACTGCATTACACAGCAGCTTCGTGAATTAACCTGCATTACACAGCTGCTTCGTGAATTAAACTGCATTACACAGCTGCTTCGTGAATTACACTGCATTACACAGCTGCTTCGTGAATTAAACTGCATTACACAGCTGCTTCGTGAATTAAACTGCATTACACAGCTGCTTCGTGAATTAAACTGCATTACACAGCTGCTTCGTGAATTAAACTGCATTACACTGCTGCTTCGTGAATTACACTGCATTACACAGCTGCTTCGTGCATTACACTGCATTACACAGCTGCTTCGTGAATTACACTGCATTACACAGCTGCTTCGTGAATTAAACTGCATTACACAGCTGCTTCGTGAATTACACTGCATTACACAGCTGCTTCGTGAATTAAACTGCATTACACAGCTGCTTCGTGATTTACACTGCATTACACAGCTGCTTCGTGAATTAAACTGCATTACACAGCTACTTTGTGAATTAAACTGCATTACACAGCTATTTCGTGAATTAAACTGCATTACACAGCTATTTCGTGAATTACACTGCATTACACAGTTATTTCGTGAATTAAACTGCATTACACAGCTGCTTCGTGAATTACACTGCATTACACAGCTGCTTCGTGAATTAAACT